ACTGCACCTCCATCAGTCAAACAGCGAATCATAAAACCTCTTGCAGCTCTGTCAACCAGAGAAAACACTATCTTCTTGTTGCTCACCACAAAGAATGTCAGGTATGTTTGCAACTCTGAGATACTGCAAACAATCCAACAATTTTTGTGTTCGCACACTTCAGGACGGGGGATAAGCATCCACAGGGCACTTATGAGAAGGGAAATCTGAGATCGGCAACTTGGCCTCCCTCTCGTCTGCCTCCACCGGGTGAGGTAACAATCCCAGATGCCCACCTTTGTTGACATTGTAATCAAAACAAAAGAAAGGAGCAAGCAAAAACAAGGACCGACAACCTCAATCCCACATGAACGCACAAAGCAGAGCTCGTTTATCAAGAGCTCAGCATCCGCTTCTGTCAACTTTTGCTGGCAGTGACTCGTAACACTGAAACAGAAGAAAGTTTTACTTTTACAATCAGCGATAAAAAAAATCAAAACAAAAACACCAGACCAATTAATACTTAATTAGACCAAAGTAAAGGGTATTTTAAGAAATCTGGCAATTCTTGTTTTTCCTCCTCTTTAAAAGTAACGCAGAGTCCATGACGATCTTCAAAAACAACGGGACAGACAGTTGACTACAGATAACACGCCTGGCTCGACAGATGGAAGGCAAAAGTATCACTTTTTTTTTTAAAAAAGGTGCTCGAGCTCAGTTTTTAGGTAGCAATTTAAGGAAGGTTTTCACAACACTAGTGGTGAATTCTGTATTATATTTAAAGCTGTAGATTATAATTTCAGCCTTGTGATTAGGCCATATTAAAGAAACAAAACAGAAAAAAACAAGCTGACACAACAAACAGATGGATTTGAAAAGCAGTCCCAGTGAAATGCAGGACAACAGCATCTATTTTGCAACACAGGTCCCACTGTGGGGTTTGATTTAAATGGCTAGTTGAGTGGGATACAGGAGGATCGGATTCTCTTTTCTTTCTTTTGCTTTTTTGGTAAGATGATCATGTGATCATGAAGCCCAGTGTTAACAATCAGTTGAATCTCTGAGTGGGAAGAATGACACACAAACTGGTGAACCGACACCTGTTTATCAGTATTGCAAGGAGGACTCTAGCAACCCACTCACTCCAAACAACCAGGAGGTGATCTTTAAATACATGCAGTTTATGCATTAAAACAGTACAATCTATAGGGGCACTACATGCATGTGACAGAAAGTTGATTTCTTTTTTTAGTTTTGTTGCATATAATCTGCACATAAATGCACGAGTGTTCGGCGGGGAGGAAAGTAACAGTGCTGAGAATAGCGAAACATCCTCTTTCCACTGTGTTTGTTATCCCCATTCAGGGTGGTGACTTCTCTCTCTCTTTCTCCCTCGCTCTCTCTCTC